ATGTACTAGGCGTTCTGTGCTCGTTTGATCAAGATACTTCCTAATTCTACCAATATTTCTAATTGCTAATGAGGCTGTGCGGCATAGATTATTCACATGACTAGACATAGTAAGATGTCTGTCAAAAATAACTCCGAGGTTTCGTGCTTCCGCATTAATTGATATAAAATGTTGACTAATACTGATACTAGAAATAGGAGCGTGGTTTGAAAAACGAGAATAAAAATGAACGATCTCAGTCTTAGAAGGATTGTTACTAAGCCTATTTTCTAGGAAAAAGGACTGAATGTCATTAATACATTGTTCAAGATYGTTTATAGCAGAATGTCTATGATCAGGATTCATTGTTATGTACAGCTGAGAGTCGTCAGCATACATCATGCAGTCAAGGCCATGAGATTTAATTACATCTTCCAAAGGAGCAAAGTATAAGATAAACAGCAGTGGGCCAAGCACCGAACCTTGAGCTACGCCGGACTTCATAAGCTGAGGACTGGACTCGGTATTTCCAAGTACGACTTTCTGAGAGCGCTCTCGTATGTAAGACTCAAACCATCAAAGTACTATTCCTGTAAAGCCATATTTGTTGTTCAATCTGTTTATGAGTATGTCGTGGTCGATRGTGTCGAAAGCAGCCGACAGGTCAAGAAGAACAAGAATCACTTCCTTCCTCTGGTCGATCGTTCTAACAATATGGTTGTGAACTCGTAGGAGAGCCGTTTCTGTACTGTGGAATTCTTGATATGCTGATTGTAATTTGGGATAGAGTTGATTTCTTGAGAGACAATCACGTACTTGAATAGAAGCGATACGCTCAAGAACTTTTGACAAGAATGCAAGATTCGTTATAGGCCGATAGTTAGAGAAGTCATCCTTATCTAATGAGGTTTTCTTGATTTTTGGAAGTAAACGACCCTCTTTGAAGGCAGTTGGAAAAACACCCTTTTGAAGTGAAGAGTTTATTAAGGTTGTTATTACAGGAAGTAGTTCCATAATACAGGTCTTTAATATTCGTGTTGGAATAGGATCGGAAGGGCATGACTTGGAAGGTGACTTCTCSACTATTTTACGTATCGTTAGGGCGGAGAGTGATAGAACGGCAAAGTTCCGGAGCGTGTTTGTCAAGTACCGTACGTAGTTCTGAGTTGTAAAGCTCAGCTAATTCCTCAGGATCAGGGTCGTGGCTATCGTTTCTTGGCAAAGATGACTTAAGTATATCCTGTTTAAATGCGTCCATGTCAATGTCTCTCAGGCGGCGTTGTTTGTATTGTGATTTACTGGCAGCTGGTTTGGCGAAGGCTATAGAGCAGATCACGGCGCTGTGATCAGACGGGAGATCATCTATAACCGAGAATTCCGAKAATTTCGTATCTTCCTGTCTGTCAATAATAAGATCCAGAGTGTGTCCGCTGCGATGCGTTGGGGCTGTAATATGTTGTTCCAGGCCAGCCGATTCCAATATATCCTTGAATGCGTTCGCAGAAGTATCATTTTCTTTATCCATATGAAAGTTAAAGTCACTGTTTAACAATAAATAATCAGAAGCTAAAGTGAGCGTTTCAAGTAGCGTTGAAAAGTCATTAAAAAAGGTATCTGCAGTTGAGCGGTTTTTCTTCGAAGAGGGCGGTCTATAGATGGTTACTAGACGGATGGAAGATGTACCATGACTAATAGTCAAGTCCATGTATTCCATCGATGGAAGCGGAATACAGTCATTTCTTGTGACTTTGAAGCCCTTCCGCAGTAAGACACCAACTCCACCGCCAGGTCTGTCGATTCTAGGAACCTGATGGAATTCGAAATCTTTCAGAGTATTCAATATTTCAGCCATAGTGTTATTACCATGAAAATCAGCAAAGAGCCAAGTTTCAGTAATTGCTAAGATGTCTAGGTGTTTAGATATTACCAAATCACAAATTGAGCCGGACTTCTTGTTTATAGATTGTGCATTCCAAGCTCCAAATTTGATTTTAGTCGGCTTAGAATTAATGTGTTGAATAGGGACGAGATTTTGAAGATTCCTTTGTTCAGCCAAGCGATTACTGCATTGAAGAGTCCTACTTTGCCTTCGTCTTTGCGAGATATTAAGCACAGGAATAGGTCTAGTAGTTGATGAAAACTGGTATGTTCGATTATAGAAGCTGTGATGTATGGCAGTTGGTATAAGATTTAGGAACAGATCCGGTGAAACAGGAGCATTAGATCTTGAGTGCGAAATTTCTGTTCTTGAATATTTAATTATCGCAGGAGCATTTTGGTTTCGTAATGTAGGATTCTGAATAAGTCCCGAACAATTCGTAGCAACCACTGGTCCAGGATTCCTCTGGACATCCATGTGTATAGTAAGGTCTGTCCAAAATAGTTTATCAGGCAAGGCCAGGAGCACAGAGCCATGTTTGGTGGTCTTTAAGGCCGGAGTTGAGATATTCAGATGAGATGGAGAATTGATGCGCTTGAATTGAATCTTTGAAGTTAAGAGAAACCTGCTGAATTCATTCCAGATACACCAATTTTGCACGTTATTGGCAGACTTTCCTAGAGTTTCCAACTTTGGATACCCATWGTGGTGAATTGAGGTTTCTAGGAGTGCTCCCAAAGCTAAAATCCGAACAAGTAAACAGAGCCAGCTATCTGTGTGGCCGGCCATATGCAATTGCGTAATCAGCTTCGATAGCCGCATCAGGAAATACTTGTGAGTCTTAAATTAGAACTTGACCTTATCAAAGTCCTCTTTGGAGAGCTTCAGCAAAATTTCCCCTTGTAAAGGCCTTCTGTAGTTCTCGAATCCTCTCTAAGATCTCTTCGGGTTCCTGACATGAAGTAATATCATCATATTCCATGAAACGCGAATCATCAAGGCTCTTAAGCAGCATATCCTCTAGCTTTCTCGGATCTTTGGGTTTCTTTTTGGATCTTTTAGGTTCCTTCTCAGGCTGCAACTCTTCGGGAAAGTACTTTTCCTGAAGACGAGCACGTGCCTCACTCAAAAAGGCCCGAGTTTCAGGAACATTATCCCAGGTATATTGCAAGATAGAGTTAACGTCACTAACCAACATGTCGAATGAATTCATAAAGAAAGAACAAAAGTGCGCATGACAGTATTATGCATCGCACCGCCTAGGAATCTATCCCAAGAGGGGGTGGTTGGGGTCTATTTTGTAAAATATTTCGTAGATCACGTCAGGATAGTAAAGAATTTCCTCATCCTGTCGAATAAACATCTGCTCGGCTCTGAGCATAGTATAAACAGAAACCTCGGGTATTTTATCTCCTGTAATCTCAGATAAGATGTAAGAAATATCCTTGTAGTAACCTAGTTTTAATTTCCTTAAGGTTTTCTTCAAGGCCTGTGGCGTATATTCCTCGAGATTAGCTTTAATTTTTTCCTTCGTCTGGTTATCTATAAACACGGGATAACGACCTTGAATACGATTCATCCACTCTCTAAAGTACTTTATTTTCTTGTAAGGAGTTCTCCGACGACCACCGTTAGCAAGATATTGGTCTATAGTCGCACATGGTACGGCGTTGAATATTTTCTTTATATATTAGTATATTTTTCACGCTTAGGTACACAAATTGTTCCCCTCTCGGATTATAAGACCCAGCACAGCATCACACAAACCTCGACGAATCCTGGCGTTAAATGAGATTCCCATACATTTCATTGGTCTTTCCAGTGTGTGTGCTGCTTGTGTGTAAATATGTGAATGTGTGTGTAAGT